ACCTACTAAACACACACACACACACACACACACACAACGACATAATTGAACATATGTTACCATACCCAAAAACACATGTACAAAAATCAGTTTGATTATAAAAGATCATCCAAATTAAAATGTATGGCATGTGATCTTTGCAGCCATATCAAAATGGCAAGAGGACAAACCGAATGGAGCTGGGATGAGACGTGAGATGAAGACTGAGAAGAGGTAAGCAGAGGTTCAAACCTCTTTAAAGGGGAAGAGAAGGTATATGGGGTGGGTGAGAGAGGGGAAGTCACAGCAGGGGGACTACACAGTAGCTTAGCTCAAAGAAGAGAGGGCCTTTGGGTAACAGCCCTGGGACTACACAGTAGTTTAGCTCAGGCGAGAGAAACAGGTTAGCACGTCATTCACAGGCCTACACGGTTGTCTCGTTTTTCCAAGGTCCAGTCCTAATGTTACCTGTGGAATCAAAGATAAGTACGTAGTCCTCATGCTGACTACTGTTCCGGCTCAGCGTCCCTCTCCGGCTGAGGGTGCCTTTCCTGCTAAGCGTGGCCTGGGAGCATGACAGAGTGGCCTTCAGAGGGGTTATATCCAAATGCAGCATGGTTTCGTCCTCTTTATCGGCCATTTTTGCGCAACTGTACACCAGTGGACCTGTGTCAGGATCCTCCGCCTGGCAAGGGCTGACAAACGGGTCAGCTTTATGGCAGCATATGCTCGAGAATGGGTCTGCTTTGGCACAGCACATGTGTCTATGACAGGAGAGCTGACTGTCCAAGTGTGCACTGTGGCAGGAGAAGCTATCGTGAAGGCCGTGTGAGGCCAAACTCTCGAGGTGAGGACTGGGACTGGGGCAGCGCAGCTGGTTGTCCGGGTGGGGGCTGGTGTGGCCTGGGAGCATGACAGATTGGCCTTCGGAGGGGTTATATCCAAGTGCAGCATGGTTTCGTCCTCTTTATCAGCCATTTTTGCACAACTGTACATCAGCAGACCCGTGTCAGGATCCTCTGCCTGGCAAGGGCTGACAAACGGGTCAGCTTTATGGCAGCATATGCTCGAGAATGGGTCTGCTTTGGCACAGCACATGTGTCTATGACAGGAGAGCTGACTGTCCAAGTGTGCACTGTGGCAGGAGAAGCTATCGTGAAGGCCGTGTGAGGCCAAACTCTCGAGGTGAGGACTGGGACTGGGGCAGCGCAGCTGGTTGTCCGGGTGGGGGCTGTGACAAGAGAGTTGAGTATCCAAGTGGGACGTGTGGCAGGTGAGAGGGTTGTCCAGGTGCACACTGTGGGGGCTGTCCAGGTGGGAGCTGTGCACGCTGCCGTCCATGCTGGTGGAGGTCATGTGGTAAGAATAGTCCCTGAGGCAGGGCCGAGGTCGGTTGAAGGAGCGAGTCTTAGACCTGTCCTTCAGGCAGCTTTGCAGGGGAAGGGTTGGTCTGGGCAGTTCATCAGGGAGGGACTGCGGGTGGGTCGTCAAAGAGGAGGGACTGTGAAGGGTGGCACAGCAGGTGCTCATGTGGTTCTGGGTGGAGGGCAGAGTATCCAACTTGCAGTGCGGCAAAGGGGAGTGTAGGTGCGGGGAAAGCAAAGGTTTACCCAGGCAGGATGAGTCGATCTGGCAGTGGATTTGGTTCTGCCCATGGGATGGCATATGGCTGAGACTTTGAGCAGGGGGGGCGGCGTTCCCCGCCGCTTCTCCGTTGACCTCCACCTTTGGTTTGTTGGGGCAACAGGCCCACCACCGGTGCCACACATCATCACGTTTTGCACAGTGCTGAATCAGCAGAAAAAGCCCCAATGTGACTGAAAACGCTCCATATAGGCAGCTAAAGATCATGTCTAGAAAATGTCGCTGTGATACGGCCAGTGCTCCGAAAACCCAGGTGGCCAGCAAGAGGAACAGCGTAAAGGCAGTGGCCCTCAGCTGAGCTTTGAAAGAGTGTTCGTTGGCCAACATAGAGGCTGTGATGGCTGTGCAGCCTGTGTGATCACAATGCTCACCTGGCTCTCCGCTGACGGCGTGACAGTGCCCAATTTCAGCTACAGCTAGACGCTGTTGTTCTTCGGTCATGGCCTTGAGCTCATACTTGCGCTCCGGGTGCCGCTTTAGCTGCACGAATATCCACAGAAAGTAGATGCACATTACCAAGACCAAAAAGGCAGTGGGTCCATAAAAGCCCCCAAGACTGGGCTCCCAGGCCATCCAACAGCTGCAACACAGGCAGATACAGTGATTAAACTGACAGTGTTGTTACCACTCTAGATCTAATTACAGACCTCATGGTAATTTATAGCTTTAATTAAGATACATTTCCCGGAATCAGTGACATTTGTCATTTTTACTGGCTTACTAAAAACAAAGTACACATATTACAACTGACAGCTAACTGGACACTACCAGTAAATATGATAGCCTACTTACTAAGTGGCGTCATCTCTGCTACCGTAGTTATCCAAGCTAACAGCAGCCGTAACACCCACTATAATTAGAGGTATCCCATCACTGACCAGATAAAACCTGACAAGATGAGGATGAAAAAAAGACAGAAAAACAGATTTTCATTCTGTCTTACAAGGAATTTAATATCTAATTAAATTATTTTGTTTAGAGATGTGAACTGTAAGAATTTAATTTATTTTCCCTAGCAACAAATACACTGCATACCAATTAAAAGAAAAAATATAAACTACTGTCAAAAGTTTGGGGTCAATTTAAAAAAGTGAATACTCTTATTCAGAAATAAAATCAAAAGTGACAGTAAATACATTTAAAATGTTACAAAATATCTCTATTTCAAATAAATGTTGTTCTTTTGAACCTTCTATTCAAAGAATCCTGAAAAAAAAATGTATCATGGTTTCCACAAAAATATTAAGCAGCACTGCCTAATTGTGCAGAACTGTGTTCAGTATTGATAACAATGAGTAATGTTTTTGAGCAATAAATTAGCGTATTGGAATGATTTCTGGAGGATCATGAGACACTGAAGACTAAAGTAATGGCTGCTGAAAATTGAGCTTTGCCATCACAGAAATAAATACAATTTTAATATATATAAAAATAGAAAACAGTTATTTTAAATTGTAATAATATTTCACAATGTTCCCATTTTACTGTATGTTTGATTATTAAATGCAGCTTTGGTGAGCATAAAAGACTTGAAAAACATTGAAAAAAATCTTACTGACCCCGACCTTTGAATGGTAGTGTATATGTTGTATCTATCAACTTAACTCTTTAAATTACTTTATTATTATTTTTTAATTAATCTAAAGTATTTATTGTTGCATTTATTGAGTATGTATTTTAAATCAATCTAAATACCTTAAATACTCTTATTTACATTCTAAATAAGAACCACTATTGAATCAGAATTCTCAACCTTAATAAAAGTAAATTCATAGGCCTTCATGTTGTGTACCTGAAAATGGTGGCTTTAGGGCGTGGTTGGGTGGGAAGGTCCCGGTCCTGAGGTATGGGCGGAGCCTTGGACACCTCCATACAAATATTCCTGGCAGTGAAGAGCAGCCATAGCATGCTAGAAAGGGAGGAGTAGTGCAAAATAATGCCAACCTGTCAATGAACAAGATGAAACATTAAACATTAAAAGCTCACTCATAGAGAGCAGACTGGCACAGAAAACTAAAGCAGCAGTGTGTATGTGTGTGTGTAGCCGCCATGGTGTGTGAGGAAGGATGCACTGAGGGGGAGTTTGAGGTAATCCTCCTCAGGCAGCGAGGTCATGCTGTTGTCCTCTTTGCTCCAATGCACTTACTGCATCAAACCCACCCAACCATCCATTCATATATTAAATAAATGACATTTATATGGGGCACTGGATGTAAATTATGTGCTATGAATGTCTGTCATGCTTTTTCAAAAAACAGTGTGTAAATGTATAAAAAGTGAATGTGAAATTCACTTTTTTGTTTATATCTAGGAAAATGTAAATACTTTATAAATAAATGTTAGGACAAACTGTCACGTAAATACAGAACAATTTCAGAAACCAGACAAGTGTACTCAATACAAAATATACGACTCATACACAGTTGTCTTTTCCATCTTGAGACAGCAGTTAAGCACCAAAATACTTCATACAGGTCTCAAAATCAACTTAATCTACCATAACAGCAAAACTGCACACCTGTCAAAACACCTTGACCTTAAAAACACTAAAACCTAGTAGCAGTACAAGACTATTACAGATTCAAACTACTACCACTCAAAAGTATAAAATTACACTTTTAAATTATTTTTAAAGATTTTTTAAAATGTTTTCACAGAAGTTTCTTATGCCTACCAAGGCTGCATTCATTTGATCAAATATACAATAAAACAGTAATATTCAAATATTACTACAATTTAAATACCTGTTTTCTATTTTACTATATTTTAAAATGTAACAGCAAAGCTGAATTTTCAGCAGCCATTACTCCAGTCTTAAGATCCTTCAGAAATCATTCTAATTGATTCTACTGATTTGATGCTCTAGAAACATTTCTCATAATTATCAATGTTGAAAACAGTTGTGCTGCTTAATATTTTTGTGGCAACTGTGGTATTTCTTTCCTCAGAATTCTTTGAATAGAAGGTTCACAGCATTTATTTGAAACAGAAATATTTTGAGACATTACAAATACCTTTACTGTCACTTTTTATCAAATGAATGCATTCTTGTTGAATAAACATTAATTTTAATTGAAAATAAAAATCCTACTGACCCCCCAATTCTAAATGGTAGTGTATCTTGTGTATCAGTGTTTTTTTTTTTTTTACAGAAATTATGAAATATATATGAAGTAAACCACAAATTCTCAAAACTCACAAAGTGTGCTATAGTTGTAAATGTTTCCTTTAACATTAATCATTATACATATTTTATGATATAATGTGAACATTTGATCTCCACAATACAACAAAATGTTCAGATTCAGATTTAATTTAGCTGCATCTGTCATGGTATGACTCTCTGCCTCCCTCCTTCTGATGCCCACCACTTGGGCATGGGCCCATGCCTGCTTGTTTGAGAGGGCACTGTACTGCACAACAAAATCAAGCATCTACATTTATCCATAAAATCCATATCGTTACACATACACAATTAGCACAGCTATGTAAACACTACATTTTGTATTGTGCAACTTAATTACAGTTTCCTTCAAACTTTCTCGGTCAGCCAAGTTTACATACAGTTACAGTACTGATCATGATATTTTGGGGAAAAAATATTTTCCAGTATTGTGCACCAGTTCAGAATGTAGTTGAGAATTCCTTTTTAAACACCAATTCAATTCCTAAATATAATTTGAACTTGAAGAAAGTAGAATTGAAACGAACTGAAATTCGAAGAAATACTTATCCACCATTTTCCTACACCCCATGAAGAAAGGTTTGCTCTATGAATGCAATAATATAGATTTTCAAAAACTGGGTATAATGAGGTGACATTATTTCACTTACCCTTCAACCATCGATCATTAAAAGGAAATTTAAAAGTGTAAAAGCATTAACAAATTACTTTAAACATACCTTGAATAACCCCAAAAGCCTGATCATTTCTGCAACAATATCATGCACATGTTAAATATCACTGTAGTAAAATACAGTGGATATAGAAAAGAATCACCCCCCGCCCCCCCCTTTAAAATAATCACATTTTGTTGCTTTGCAGCATGAAATGAAGACGGACACAGTTTTTGTTTTATCCATCTGTATATACTGTATTCAGTGCAACTTATAACATCCAAGTGAAAGATATATCACCAATACGTCAGAAATGTTTTTTTAATTTTATTTTAAAGGCGGGTGATTCTTTTCTATATCCACTGTATGTCTATATTATGTAACATACTTTGCCTTAATCAAAAATGAGTGATAATATTTCAAAGTGATTTCCATCATTTTAATAGATAACAAATATTGTATTTATCTGCTTTAAAAAAATATTCCAATAAACACAACTGATATGGATTAGAAATGAAAAGGGGAGACAATTACATTTAAAAGCATCTGTGTGAATACAAACCTGGAAAGAGAAGTGAGGATTTTGGGAGAAAAACAAGAGATTCTAGTGGATTCTAGCAGACCACTAATATGCAGTATATGTTGTCTTTTTTCATATAGTTACAGCGGAATACAAAAGAAAAATGAAAATAATGAGGAAAATAATGCAGAAGTGCCCCCCATAATTTAAAACACAGTAGTCTGCTAGGAAAAGGGTGGATAAATGTAATTTTAACTACAAAAGCAAAGTTTCAAAAATGAACAAACAAACAAGATAGACTGATAGATAGATCATATATCATTTTTGTTGACGAATATGACAGTCATTTATATCATGCAGTATTTTACCTTCACCGCCCTGGTGTGTATATATACTGTGTATAGGCGCATCTGAAATGTATGCTCATTATGCTTCCAGTCATAAATCTGATGCTTTTAATTCTAAAGCTTTACTGACAGTGAATCAACTGCTGTCATTAACTAAAATATATGTTTAATAAGCGTGCAGCTATAAACATAATCAAATTAATCTAACTCACTGGTCCAGGCTGGAAATTGTCTGTGATGAAGGAATAAGTGCTACACTTTGAAAGGCTATGGCAATCCTAGAACCCCAGTGCATTAACCTCTCAACACTGGGCAGTCATGCCAAACAAAGCCCTCTGTGCCTTAGTAAATGGCTACCATGCCAATTCGAGAGTCAAAGAGGCCATATGCTAGTGACTCTGAGCAGGGCATGAATAATGTGGATCACTCAGACCAAAGAAACAGGGTAGAGAACTGGGAGACGTACCACTTGACAGATCACAGGGTACTTGATCTGGTTGATGCCTCCTGCAAACACCCCAAACGTCATGGCAGTGTGGAAGAGGAAGTTGAGGAGCATGTGCCATCCTTTCCTGCTGATTCGGATTATGCTGCAGAGACACACACACACACACACACACACTCATATCAGATGAAGAGAGAGTTGCACCATGAGTGATACATCAACAGCTTACTACTAAAGGGAACAAGTAACTGCGTTTGAAGCACAATGATATGACTAAAGAATCTTTTTGACCCCGTCTGCAAAGTGTCTCAAAGTAGAGCAGCACACTAAATTTGGCATTGTCCCTCTAAGGTTAGACGTGGCCCCTTCTCCATAGAGCAAGCATTACTCACTGGAAATATCTGTGACACTCAGGGGTGATGATACTATAAATATTAGCGGTCTGACTCAGGATCACAGCACTATTGTGGCAGTCTGTCCCAAAAACATTCCCTACTGTGACCTTCCAGTATTAGTACTGGTGCTACGAATGGCATGATTTGAATGGGGGAAAGCTTTAAACTATTTTTGACTGAAGCAAACGGTTTAACAATGCAAAAAGGCGGCATGGAAAATACAAGACTTCACTAGTAAATTTCATTGCTGAAATTCAGCTGCAGAAATACACTGGACCAAAACAAACATATTATACTATGCAAATATCTATAAGGCCTATAGATATTTATCGACTGATGTCTATTTAACTATGAATTCATTTCAAACTCATTTCAGCTCAAAATTAGGCTTGTTAATTTATCCATTTATACCAAAGCAATAATTTTCATACTGTGTCCTGCATGAAGCTTTTGAATTTATACACACATTCCACACACAAAAAACTATTGTCTAGTAACCAAAGCCTTTTTAAGGACAGTCTGATAAGCAGCATCCCAAAAATCCTACCTTTATTATATTTCTTGTTTTTCACATTCAAATACATAAAAAGAATATTTATCCATCTGTCATACTACACTAATGTTGGGGTCAGTAAGATTTAAAAAGAAATAATCTATTTTAAATAAATGCTGTTCTTCTAAATTCATTAAAGAATCATTAAATAAAAAGTGTCACAGTTTCCACAAAAATATTAAGCAGCACGACTGCTTTTATCATTTATAATAACAATAAATATTTCTTGAGCACTGATTAGCATATTAGAAGAATATCTGAATGATAATGTGACACTAAAGACTGGAGTAATGACTGCTGAATTCAGCTGCAAATTCAGCTTTTCCATCAATAAAATAAATATTTAAATATATTCAAACAGAGAGCAGTTATTTAAAATTGTAATACTATTTCACAATAGTACTGCTTTTACTATATTTTTGATCAAATAAATGCAGCCTTGTTGAGCATAAACAACCTTAAAAAAAAAATAAAAATAAAAAACATCTTGCCAACCCCAACCTTTTGAACAGCAGTCTATATGATATAACACTGTCCAGAATTTCAATATCAGTGCATCCCTTACTCTAATAAACTAATCATTAACCACATAGCTTATTTTTCAGATCCACAGCTCCAGACTGCGCCTAAAACAGTTGCATTTGCGACCAAAAATATTAATTTGTGAGTGACGTTTTTGCTGACATTGCCACTGGCGACTATATAAATGTACCTGCCTTTACAAAAAAATGCCTTTTTTCCTGATTGTTTTGCAATCACATCATTTGTTATGTTGACGTAATAAACGTCAATGATGCGCATCAAAGTTTTAGTGGAAAAACAGTCCTCATCTCTGCCGTCACGAGCACTGATGGCACACCTGCTAAAAGCAAGCTCCAGTTGAAAGTGCAGAAAAACAGTGTGTATTTTGTGCACAACTTGAACAAACTACGACAGGTAAAGCTGTCAGCTGTGTGAATATTAGCAATATTGTTAACTATTCTTGTTTATAATCGATACTGATATGATGGCTTCTTCTTTAGTCTGTATGTGTCACGAATCCGGTCTATGAACTTCAATTCACACAGAGGTCACCCTTCCATTACATTGACTCTCGCACTACACATACTGTTGCATGTCATCCCGGACTACATATCCCATCATCCATTGCACTGATTGCACACAGCACTGATTGCACACAGCTGTAACCAATCACACATTCACTATATAACACTCACTCAGATCCCTTTCAAGCCAGAAAAATTTGACCCACAAGTGAGTGAATGTTTGTACGGTGACTCATCATTGGATTTTCTTTCTTGCCTACTCACTGTGATGCCTTTCTGCTGATATTCTCGGTTTTCTTTCCTTCAGTGTGTGTGTGTGTGTGTGTGTGTGTGTGTGTTTGGTGCGTGAGGGAGGGAGGGTCAGGCGTGTGTGAATATGTTCTGGTTTCTAAGTTTGAGTTCAGTTTAAGGTCTTTCCACTCCAGAACTCAGTGGAGCATATCTGACTGACACTGACAAATACTCTCCTCCCATCCTCTAGAGAGTAACAGAAAGCCGATAAAGAAAATGGGCATGAGAACACAACAGAGTAGTTAGAGGTGAAAATGATGAAACCAGAAAGGAATAATAAGGGAATGTACCCATAGAACAAAGATGGCTAGGAGAGTTGGAGGAAACCCCAACGTCTTTATCTCTGCAGTTATGATATTTCTGAAATGTGTCAGAATGCAGTTCAGAATTGAACAGAAGCATGCATTGAATTCTCGGCCTTGCTGCAAGGGTGCATTAGTGAGCTAGTTTCTGTAGTCAATTTTTTGTTTCTTTCTTGCAGGTCATCTATGCTTATTGTTGGAATTTACAATTTATACATACATTTATTGTAGTATTTACAATTTTCAATTTAGAAATTGCAGGGAAATTTCACAAATTACAAAGAAACAGCAAGTAACACATTGAATTAATCGTTAAGTTAATAAGAAAAAAAAAACTGGAATAGTATTTTCTTGTAAAAAGTACACCAATAATCTTTGTTTTATTTGAAAATAAAAATCATTTCTTACAGTGTACTATCATGGTGGATCAACAGTTTAAAGAGAATTTTGCTGAGCAAATTAGTTAATCACCCAGATATTACTTGTAAATTTCACAAACAATTACAAAGAAAAGGCAAGTAGGCCTAACACACTGATTTAAACTAGAGATGCACCGATCGACCGGAAAATCGGCTAAACCAGAATTAACCAATTTTCCGCATGATCGGCCCGGTCAGTCCGCCGATTCCAAGCCAGTCAGTTTTGACGTCACACTGGCCACACACTAGATGATTTTCGAATCTTAACCGATTTTAAAACTATGGGAGACCACAGACATGAAGACAGTTTCAACCGATTGTTAGCCTTATAATCCTCTGAACGCGCACACTAGACGATTTGACAAGACCGCGAGACCACCCACTTGATGATTGACATGAGATCTCACGGAGACTCGCGAGATCAAATGTGACTAGAGAAGAAAAACAAATGGAGAACAATCGACGTTGTCAGCTGGCTCTCTTGGCATGCATTCTGTTTCACAGTGAAAAACTAAGCATAGCAAAGAATATGGGTGATGTACTCTTGCTTTTGTGGCATGTTTGTGGCTGTCAAGTTTGTTTCAGCAATAGAAGCACGCAACATCCGGTAGGTGGCGCTTGCTCGCTCTCATTGGCTATCATATTATGTCAGAAGCAGTCCGAGCAAGAGTCGTAAACATCAAACATGTTTGATATTTTGTAAGATTAATGTTTTAAATATTTTTTAAACATACTAATAAGAAATATCAAAACATGTTTGATATTTACGATTGAGTTTGGGGATGCTTTGTCTCGATCGGGAGCAGTTCAATAATCGTAATGACACCACACAATAGAGGATTTTTGGACAAAAAATCGCTAGCGATCCTGTCCATGGACTTCCGTTCGATCACCACCAGAGGTCACCCTTCCATTACATTGACTCTCGCACTACACAAACTGTTGCATGTCATCCCGGACTACATATCCCATCATCCATTGCACTGATTGCACACAGCACTGATTGCACACAGCTGTAACCAATCACACATTCACTATATAACACTCACTCAGATCCCTTTCAAGCTGCCGAGTATTGTATGCGCATATCGCTAGTTGTGATAGCTACGTTACTGAGCCTACTTGAAATTTCATAGTCTTAGCCTAGTCTTGCCTTGTCTGATTCCTCGTGTTCTGATCTTTGCCTGTGCACTTTGGATTACCTCTCTCGTCTTGCCCTATTCGGATACTGTTTGCCCTTGCCTGGACCTTTGCTTTTTTTACCTGGATTATCTCTCTAGTCTCGCCCTATTGGATTATGTTCGTCGTCGATTGACCCTCACTGTTTACCGGCATGCCCATGCCTTGTCTCTTACATACCTGTTTGCCAATGTTTGATTTATGCCTGTTTCTGACCACGTCTCCAGAATAAAGCTTTGCACATGGATCCGCACGTCTCACGTCTCGTCAGACCCGTAACAGTATGCTGTGTTCTGTAAATGCTTGAACTTCATATTATTTGTAGCGCATTTGCCGTCCAATAATAGCAATAAACAAAACCTATGATATGAACCTATCATATCTTTCTCTTTACTACTGTAGTACGAAATAAACATGAATGAAAATCAAAAGGTATATTATAAGATAGAGTACAGCTTACTGAAATGTCTCATGTAATCACTCACTCAGTGTTTCAAACTGCGGAAAACGTGTAAAGCTTGTAAACAATGCCACATAACAAACTGCACTCAATGACCAAGATGCTGACATAGTTATGGTCTGTGATATTGCCACAGATTCTGTGTAATAAACAGTTATTTGACTCCATACACACATCTTGGAATAGACGTTTAGTTCCCACTTTAAGTGAATCTTAGTTTCCAGGACATCTACAATATGGATTGAAATGATAATGCTGTAGAAATGGCTCCTTAAGTGATTTTTTTTGTCTGGAGCCCTGAAAATGTGATAAGCAGGGCAATGAAATGGGGAAAAAGGCAAGAAAATGCAAAATAATAAAAAAAAAAAAATAATAAAAAAACTTTTTTTTTTAAATAATAAAAAATGAAAAATTATGTTTGACCAGTCCCTAAGAAAAACACTTTTGTAGTATTTGTTTCATGCATAGCATTTTGCTAAATTTATGCGCTATATTGCTTATTCATATTTTTTATTAACTTGTTGTCTACATGATACGAAAGAATGCAAGGAGCTAAAGATAAAATTCAACACCTCCTATAAAATTGCATATTACTAATGAAGAAAAATATGTGTCTTGCACACAGGATATGTGTGCAAGACACATGACAACATTTATAGGATGCATTGAGGAGGAGCCCAAACTACACCCAATGACCAAGTGATGCTGACATAGTTATGGTCCATGATATTGGCACAGCTTCTGTGTAATAAACAATTATTTGTGACTGTATATATAGTTCTCAAGTTGGAAAAGATGTTTAGTTCCCACTATAAGTGAACCTTAGTTCCCAGGACATTTACAAGATGGATTAAAATGCTGCTAAAGACAAGAAAAGATGAGACATAAACATTTAACAGTATGACTGAAATGTTAAAGTGTTAAAAAAAAATAAACAAATAAAACATGTTTATTCTGTGGCACTTAAAAAAATTAATTGGCACCTAATTTTGTTTCTTATAAGAGCTAATGGCTCCTTAATTGATTTTCTTTGTCTGGAGCCCTGAGATCTACACTTTATTATGCCACTGGTGCAGCTTAATTACACAAAACACGTACCTGTGGTGTACAATGTATGTCATGATAGAAATCAGCAGGCAGAGCAGCATCACTGCAGTGCAGGCGTACACCACTGGGTGCAAATAATCCCCTGGATATGGAGGAAAGGACAGCACCCTCTTTAAATCCTGTCAATAAAATCAGAATTAAAAAATGAGAAATAAAAGAACATGTCAAATGATAAAAATACACCAGTCTTTATATTGTACATATGCATTTCCCTAATAGTATCAGTCTGCTAATTTGCTTCTGTATGTTTTTATTAATGAATACTGCTAACGTATGTCTCTGGTTCTAACATTTGCAGACTGTTATTTAAACAAAATCACTTTGTTCATGTAGTGATTGAAGCAATCAGTCTCTTACTGGTACGGCAGTATGGATGCACAACATGAATAAAGATGTTGGATTTAAGAAACTGATCATTAAAACAGTTTTATCTATCTAAATAAAAGAAAAGGGGGTGAGTTGGAGGAGGTGACAGGAAGAAAGAAAAACAATACAAGACAGGAGCACTGTCCCTGTGAGCCAAAGACTACGCCCCCATTGCATCAATCTCTTTCAGTATGTCTATTTTATCGTCCAGCCCGAAGAGCCCTTTGTTGTGTGCCTGAAGGGTTCCTTCCCCTCTGGAAAGCAGCACCACAGATGTACATGCATGCCTTTACACTCCAACAGACTGAACACGCTCTGCGCTAGGGGTGGGTGATATGACAAAAATATCACATCACGATTTTTTTCAGGAAAATCACGATTCTCGATTTTATCACAATTCCTCATCATTTTGGTTTTACTATTTTGCAAGTTTTCTGAGCAGCACAGCCAAACTAATTTCCCTACTTTAAAAACAAAGCCTTACAAGGTAACAAAATATAAAATAAAAAAATAGCAGACATTTAGGACAAAGTGGGTGAACATAAAAATCTTTTTTTATTATTTTATCTTTGTTATTATAAAATAAGAACATATACAACATATACAGTATACAAATAAAACAAACAGTGCTTTATTTTTCAGGTACAGTAAGTGTAGTTAGCAGCAGCATTCAAGAAACTAAATGAACAAATAGGCCTATAAAAATAAAACACTATATACACTTCACTGTTCAAATTATACATTGATTCTTATTAAACACATCTAATATACAAGCATGCATCCGTTTTTCTCTCAACTGTTTACTTTCACTTTAGATATAACCAACTGTGTTTATGTGTAAACCTTGTTTGGTTTTGACAGTATTAGCGCAATCAGACGTGAAAGATAACTTAGTCCAGTAATCAGGCACTATATTGACAGTCTTCCTAGTGTGCGTGCCCCCCAGGTGTATGTGCTCAGAAAAAGTGCATGTCAGAACAGCATGCTTAACCGGCAAGGCTTTAAAGCACATGCAAATAATGTACTTTTGTGATTGAGAATAAGTGCAGTGTCCTATGAGTGTAACTCTACCGCTGACTTAACATTTGATGTGAATGCATGTCACATTATACAGTATATTGAGACAGAGGCGCCAGAACTGCAACTCATAAAATGTGCGCTGTAGCACGATACTACAATGTTTCTTCAAAAGCAGATCATGGAGACATTTTAATCGTCCACGATTAAAAATCATGATATCGCACACCCCTACTCTATGCTCCACATTACAACAGCCAATTTCCCTTAGTCTCCATCTTTGTGACAAATATGCAGACCTCATTCAACACTTCCTTCAATCTCGAAGAGCACAGCGAGTTATATTTAGGTCAGCACAATGCTATTATGCACAAGATTGGCCATTTGAAAACTATAAAAGACGGTTACATATAAATTGGACACATGATCATTCAACAAAAAGCAAATGTAACCCTAAAATCCTGGTTATATTGTATGATTTAACATTATGTCCTGTCTCCCAGAGTGCATGTCTGCTTCAATCCAAGGTGAGATCAGCACAATTGCTACCCATTAATCAGCTTCCCATAAAGCATCACTCAGCGTCACATTATTGATCCTTTGACCTCAGTTCTTCAGCAAAGATACCGTACCTTTAATGCCCTAAGACATCGAACCACTGTTGCATTGAAAGTTAATGCTGATTAATATCAACTCCTTTAGTGCCCCAAAGCAGAGGAAGTAATTTCAAACAGTGTGCCCATAAAATGGTTATCAAGGCTTTGGGGCATGCTATAGTCAGTTTGTACTAAATATAGATCTCATCAGTATCACCTCACTACAGGAAAAAAAAAAAAGAATTTCACTGTATGGTGTAGGCCTGTCACATTTATGTTCTGTTCTGTTCCATTTTCGTTGTATTTTTCTCTGTATTTCTGTTCCCCTGCATTAGTTCCCTCGTTTTTTCCCTTAGTTGTTAATCGGCTCCACACCTGTTCTGTTTTCATCTTGATTACATTCCCCGTGTATTTAAGCCCTGTGTTTTCCTCAGTTCCTTGTCTGCTATTGTTTTGTGCCTATGTGTTTGTTCTGTTCTCCCTTTGGATTTATTAAAATTACTTTCTTGGACTCCACTCCTTTGTTGTGCACTTTATACTGGACAGCCCATGACAAGGCCTAAGTAAAAGCATTTATGTTGTCACTCTTTTATAGTTTTAATTGATATCAGCAGAGCTGCCAGCGCTCTTGTAGGTAGCATTGGATTCACTTGTGAGAAATCTCAAAATATCAGGCCTAAATACAATCTTTCATTAGGGATGGGTAAAAATAAACTCCATCGGATGTCTGTGGCGATTACACATGCACTCCATTGCTCATCCACCCATCTATGACAGTTTGATGAGATCTTTCACTGACAATAAACTGTCTTTTTTCCAGACAAAAGTTGCTTCCAAAATATATACATTACCATTCAAATGTTTGGGGTCAGTAAGATGTTTTTTGAAGTTCCTTATGCTTGCCAAGGTTGCATAATTTGATCAAAATACAGTAAAAAAAAAAAAAGTGTATATCTATGTACCAATATAATAATTTAATTGAATAACATGACTGGAGCTGCTAATCTCACTTTCTCATTTCCAGCTTGGTCTTAGCCATATTTATAAATCAATCTATCTATCTGCCTAACACCTACCTAATCATACTCGGGACATAAGCACTGGACCATCCATATATTTACATATTAATTTAAATGAATCACATGACAGGACCTGCTAAACTCAGGTCTTAGCCGATCAGCAAGCAAGTAGAAAACAGGTCAGTGATTAAAAGTGAACTCTGAAGAGATGCCATTTCAAGTCTCCGCCAACGATCATGCAGAGAAGAAGAGGATCATCGCTTGCTCTGTAGGACCTGCTATCATTCTGTGCACTGACCCTCTTTCTTCGAGTAGTAGCATTCCAGACCAGTTAAGACCACATTTTGGTGGCAGAAGTGTAAATGCAATCACAATATCACAGACTTGCAAAAAGAAACCTAAATATACTAGGCAAATGCTATAACTGATGTAGCATTTGGACCAATCAGACACACAATTGTTCATTAGATTTAACAAATCAATTATTCATTAGATTAACAAATATTCACAGACCCCTCACCCAATAAACATACTGGGTGCCAGGATGTCTGCGAACGACCCCAGGCCCCTGGTTACCATGGCAACCAGGACACCTCAGCCAGACCAGATACATTTTACGTCCTAAAAGTATGTAGAGAGAATCTTCCTCTCTACTCAATTCTCTCTAAAACAGACACATACTGCTATAGGAAATGACTTTCATTAATTCATAGACAAATTTTCCTATAACTTTCCTATCATGCATATCCCCAAGTCTTTGTGTATGATTACTACCTCCTTATATATGGTATTGTGTATTGCATACCATTTTAATGTTTATGTTTATGACAGATCACTAGTTAATGTAAACTCACCTATACCATTTTTGGCCTCTATGAATTCGTCTTCGCATGATCTAATTGAGAGTGTATATAATATGTGGATACCAACATATTAGTGTTCTAATAATCTTTAATAGTTTGCATATCAACATCCAATCCAGTTCCATATTCAAATTACCATGCTCTCAGACAAAGGGTCATAAAACCCTCCAGTAGTTCCAACCTCCCGCTTGGAAATTCAGCCTTTCTCATTGGACAAGCCCATCCTGAGAGGCGGAACTCTTCTCAGACTTTAAAGGGCTCATGCACAGTTCCGCCCTGGGTCTTCTGCTTAAACTTCTGATTGCTGCCCATGTGGAGAGCCTGAGCCGGTGCGGGTGTGCCCGGTGGGCTCCAACATATAGCCCAGTCAGTCTGCGGTTCTGTTAAGATTCTGAGAAGGTGGGTATGCTGAGCTAGTCTTCTAAGGACACCCTAAGTTCGTACCAGGCCTCGGCCTTGACTTTCCATTCACCAAAGATCCTAGGATCGGCTACGCTCCAGGAAGGTATCCAGTTATCGCTGAAAAAAACGCACAATGGAGATAGAGACATTTTAACTGATGAAACTTGAGGAAAATAAACATATGATTGCACAAAATATATGGTTTATCTGTGTTCTTCAATCTTGGGTATTTTTTATAAGGAAAGTATATTTATAATGCAATGTTAATCGACATGGCCTTTATCACTGTATATAATACTATCATTCTGTAATATGAAACCACATCTGGTCACAAAAAGAAGTATTTCAAATACTCGACTATGTTATTAAGTTCATTTGGAGAAAAAGCATGTCAATAAATTATATCTTTGTTGGACAACAGGTTTGCAAACAGGCTCATACCCATGCAAAACTGTATCGCACACGTGCTACTGTAGTACATTTATTCAGACAATTGTTTTGTGCACTGTACAGCCCTAACCAAACCAGTTACAGGTTGTAAAAGGAGCTCGAGCTCCTCATTTAGCGATATAGGCTACTCAGATATCGATTTCTTAGAGTTGATATGAAATTACACTAAATGTTAGCTGGACAAACAGATTAGTTGATGGCAATTTAATTCTGGTACAGTTACTACTGGCAGCTCATATAAATAATTATAATTAACCATAATTAATTGTAATTATTTATATACATTTTCCTTTTGAGCTAATTTGCTACACTGATAAAACATGACATCTAAAATCAGTTTTAAAATGTGTGCCATTGAGAGATTAATTGTAGGGAGTTTTGAGATGGTGATCATATGAAAACTGAC